TGTTTCCTTGCCTACCTTGTTCCCATTGGTTTCTTTTGTCTTATTCTATCATATAAACACTCCTTTCTACCATCTCTTTCTCTTTTACTCCGACGAAGGACTAGCGCCCGAAACGTCAGTAAGTTTTTTCATCTTTTCACGGTGTATAATTTACCCTTTTATCATTACCTAGCATTCTTGTGAGTGCGAGGACATTGATGGTTCCAATTCGCCATATATAGTTAACAACGCTCTGTCCAATAAACTAGCTTGAATATCTCAGGACATAAAACTCTAATCAAGGAAAATTGGTCATAAATTGTTTCAATTGCTTAGTGTCATTTGACAATAAAAGAAAATTGCCCCGTAATTCTTGTTGTACTCTTTCAAAGAAATATTTTACAAAAACAGAGCGCATATTCGCAATCTGCCATGGATGACACTTTTTTTGAAACGTTTTTTTAAAAATTAAGTTTATTATATTAGTTTCTATCTTCGTATTATCAGTTAATCTATTTGAACAATGTATAATAAAATAAAGGCGTTCCAGGCCTGTTGCAGAAACAGTCTCACTATATGCTAACTTTTAAGAAATAATGCGATGACACGTTTCTTTATCCTTTCTAGGTCTTCAGATACCAGCTGAGTTGACCTCATTCCCCCAAAGGAATTATCGGTCAACTATTTTTGGTTAGCTTTTTTCTAGCAGAGACTGAGTATCATTTTTTACGCGACTTGAAGTTGTGAAAGGCCCATTGGCACTCTTCTTCAGTCGTTTTATAGACCAAATTCAAAACTCGCACCGATGTGAGGCTTAAGTTGTGAACAAAGGGATCTGGCGTGACTCGAAGTAATCTGGCGTGATTCAAAAGTCACGAATCACGCCAGATTCCTTTGTGAGTGGCTCTTCATCTACTGAAATTCCAATTGGAATTTAGAAGTTGACTTTTTTGGAGGGAGGAAAACCGGAGAACCGGAAAAACTTCGAAGCACAGGAGAGAACCAACAACGACACAGAGCCTGGAAGGGACTCGACCGGTTGCATCGATGAGAGGCGAGCGCTCTCAACGCTACGCCACCCGTGCTTCCCGTTCTTAAGCTGGTAAATACTCAGTTGGTAAATAATTGGTTAAGCTGTTGTGGTGTACTAATTAAGCATAGCTCTCATTTTACAAGCTATTGAAAAACAAAACCCGAAGAAATGGGGAGCCAATGACTCGTTCCCTTCGTGATGTCGGCTTTCTCTCAAAGTCATCGTTCTGACTGTGCTTTTGTCGGTAAATACTTGGTTAGACTGTCATGGTGTACTGTGCAATCGTGTTGTGTTATTTAGGTAAAATATTAGGCAGATTAAGATTCTCCTTGACCACGTTTTCAACCTTTCCCTACATTTCACTTTACCTTTTGCAAACCTTCTCGACAAAGACAAGTATTCTTTTGTTTATCTACTACTTGGAGATTTTTGCGATTCCTTTTCACTAATTTTAAAGAATGGTCAAACTGAATTTCACGTTTGCACGAGAATCTTTTAAGATTCTAATATTAACAGTTGCATGCTTACTTAGAGCACATGCAGTAAAACCATGAGATAAAAACAAAATTGATATAGACAAATAGTACTGTTTAGTGACTAATAGTTGCAATCTCTCAACCAGAACATTCATTACACAAAGACAAATACACAAGAAACCAGTTGTGTCTTTGTATAAGGAATGAGGGCGTGAGGTCTAATATTGTTAATAGTCAAATAAATTTGCATACACAAGACTCGAATATAAATACCATCCTACAAACAGCTTCCAAAAATATATGTGGTTCTTTGTCTTAATTATATTCTCAGGTATCCTCATCATCAAAGGCTTATTCATCTGATAGCTTATCTTCCTCCGCTTCCATCAGAAGGTCTGACAAATCTATGGAATCTCCAAACAAGTCGTCGTCTAGAATACCAAAATCTAAAACTCTAATAAAATATAAAGCAGTGAACATATCTTTTATCTTTGGAATCTCTTCCTCCCCTTCCATGCTATGGTTGATACACTCTTGCAAAAGCTTAGTGACTGGACTGAGCTTTCCCATATCAAGTWTTTTTTCCTCYCTWGATCTGYGGTCATAAATATYTCCTGAATCTAGATGGATCTTTTTATCTGGTAAATGAAAATCAAGCTTTAGCCTATGCCAGGTTGGGTMGCTAKMACCATCACCCTCTATTTCTCCTTTCACTTTGATGAATTTGCTTTCARGTAGCTGGAAAGATACAGTSTTAYCAACGAACTTGTCAGCTGTAGCTCCAGAAGAGAAATTATCTGTCTCAAATGATGTTTTCTTCATCAACGCTRACATTAGTTTTTCTGGTAATTTTCTSAAGYAATAGTCTGTTATGACTCYAAAAATGCGAGAGATAGACCCTTGAATGTTTTTAAGGAAACGTGCATCAGATCTCTGCACCAATGCATCCAGTGATTCAATCACAAACTTGCAAGTTTCTGTTTCTTCTGGAAAGGCTTTCTCCTTCATCCATCTTGCAGAAGATGTCTGAAATTCTCTAAGGAGATTCTTCTGAAAATATTCTAACATTGGTTGAATTGATTCAATGCTAGGCTTTTCATTTTTGGCAGCATCTTTGAAGCTGAGCTTGTCTTCTTCATCGAACCTCATTTTCTCTGGGAAAAAGTAGAGAAACCAAAAAAGGAAATTTCCATGAATGGAGGGGATGGTTTCTCCAAGTTCCTCTTGAAGGAGGTCTGTAACTGGTTTCATTGATTCGACAACTTGTTTCATCTCTTCTTCGCTCCAGTACTTGAAATCTTCTGGMMTYATCCTATAAAAATCCTTCGMYTCGATCTTTAGGTCGTCACATTTCACTTCGATAGTCAATTYATCATCATAATTACCAATGTRGTCATGAAARTATGTAGTATTAACGCTCATTTCTCGATTTCGCCTTGGTAAATGAACAGTGAAACTGCTATAYTKTGTYATRCAYGTGGCTCTTGGCTCTCCTTCGGAGACGCTGRAACKATGATTTCTAACCCACGTAAAGACTTCGCTAGCAACGGGACCGYTCGTAATCCAAACGTCGACAACCTTGTCGTATGTCAACAGGCATCTTGTGCTGCAGTATTGAACCGCTTGATCTAAGATTTCTTTGAACTTAAGGAATTCATCATATGGCTTGTAGCTTAAACCACGTTTGTCATRWTTAGCGCCCAGATGAACGACTAGRCGTTTGATAAAATRCTCTGCTCTTAACCTTACGAYRTCGACGTGGCAGTTCCTTGGGTTACTGGTCAACTGTTGAAGTCTCTTGCACGTACGAGCCAAGCTATWAAATGAACTACGATCGCTTATGAAAGCTACTATATTACATAAACAGTCATCATTTAAAGACAAAATGCTGKCTTTGACCTCCATTTTACAGAAAGTTTACTCAACTTCATATAGTTTTGCAAGAATGACTTCGAACACTCCCAGTTATTGTTGACAATGAAAGCAATTATCGACAGGCGTTCAAAACTTAAACCACAGGAAACCCAGTTCTTGATCTTGACATTTTCTCTGAAGTTTTTATCATCAATTTTATCAATAAACTTTGGTTAATGAATGTCTCCCAAATTTATTTGAAATGAGACTATAATGCTTAATAATATTAAATCATATATTCTATGACTCGAGTATCGTGATTATATAAATCTCATACGATATTCATCATGTTTAACTATATTGAGAAGAAGGGACAGGGAAAGAGAATGGGGCGAAAAAATAAAACAAAAAGAATAATAAACATTAGTAGAACTTAAATCCATCGTTTTCTTTTGTGTCTATTTGACTATCAGTACACGCAGACTAATAATTTTTATTTCACGAGTCAATGCCTTCACTCTATCACTCTTGATTTTATTTCATGGTGTAACTGCATGTGCTTTTACAATTTATTTTCAAGGTTTTAAAATATTTGTTATTCGGTAAAAAGATGAATATTCCTGATGATTGTGACCAACCAATCCCCACCCACCTCCCCCTAACCCCCATTCCAAATCCTAGATACGCTCATCAACATACATGGTAGCAATTTGTTTTGAGCCTGACAAACCCGACATCACGCTTCTTACTACAGTTTGAAGTGCCATATTTAGGCGTACCTGTCGTATTATAGCAACGCCAAGGCCAATTCAAACGATCTAACTTTTGGAGCTAAAAAAACAGATTTTAAAACGAAGATATAACTAGCTAAAAACTAGTGTGAGCTGCGCCGGTGTTTCTAATGAAACAGTAATGATGAAAAGGTAAATTATACACCGTGAAAAGATGAAAAAACGTATTGACATTTCGGACGCTAGTCCTTCGTCGGAGGACTATCGTCCGAAACGTCAGCAAGTTCTTTCATCTTTTCACGGTGTATAATTTACCTTTTCATCATTACAGATTTTAAAACCATTACTGAAGCCTACCATTTTGTGTGTTTGGAAAACTCCAGAAATAGAAAGAACATTTCAATATTAGGAGAAAGGCAACGTTTCAGGTCATAATCTAGAACAATAGCAGGATGAAAAAGATTTGAATAATTAGATCATAGTTCATTGATCTTAATTAGATGGATAGTCACGTCGTCCGTACTCCCCTTATTACAGCGCAACGCGCAAAAGTATGACCACATTTGATGCAGTCGCATACTTCTATGCACGAGCTTTTTGTTGTGAAACGAGCGTTTGCTCGCTCGTAAAACTAGCCAGCTTCGCATCGAAATGTGTCGGCTTAACGTACAAAAGCCCGTGCATAGAAGTATGCGAATACAATTGAATTTCTTGAGAAGTAAGATGAAAAAGTTTTAGAAAAATGGTATTAAAAAATTCAAAAAAGATCAGTGTTATCACGTCGTCTTGTATGTTATACGTGTGCTTGGATGCTAGAGCTTTTAAGGAAACATATTTTTAGATGCAAAGTTTGCAATAAATATTATTGAAACGTTTCAAGGTCACGGTGTGATCACCATGCATCACAATACCCAATGGTAATAATAATAATGGTAATTCCTCATAGACACTAGGGAATGCTTTATGCATTTCTAAGGAGTAGATCGTGTTGAGTAGATCGTGTTGAGTAGATCTCTCCCTCTCTCTCTCAACTGTATGGGCACTCGTATATTATACCGCATTCGCAGATGATTGCCTAATTCTTCATCAACCACGGCTATTTCATCGTTCCTTATCAAAATTACGCATAAATGTAATAGCTCCATTTTACAAGCTACTGAAAAGCAAACCACGAAGAAATGGCCAAGCCAATGACGCATTCCCTTCGTGATGCTGGCTTTCCTTCGACAAGAATCAAAGTCATCTTTTTGTCAGTGTTTTTCCTCTGTGGGTTTGTCAAAATAACCGTACATGATAATATTTTGGCAGGGGCGGAAGACATCCTTGAAAATACGAACTACTCGACTGGATGGATCAGTGCTATGGTCAACATACCTTACTTGTTTGCAGTAGTCTTCATTCAGTTTCTTCACCATCGACTAAAGAATACATACCAAATGTGGTTTGGTTGTCTGACAATGATATTGGGCTCTATTGGTGTGGGTTTTCTTCCTGACACTACACTAAAAATCGCAGCTGTTTGCTTCACAGGTGTAGGGGTAGCATGCGTGGAACTTGCAATGATAGCTTTGACAATAAAATATCCAGATGGAGTTGTGCAGTCCTTTATCATTGGTGAAGCTTCTGGAAGACTTCTAACTCCAATCATCTATACAGGTAACTCTGAGATAAACTTTTTAAGTTTAAGTTTAAGTTTAATGGTAAWAAATTCACACGCATTTTATAATTGAAGAGGTAATATACGAACAAGTTACATAATCAAAATAGAAGTGTCCGTGGTTATATTGAAATATTTCAAATGTACCCAGTGCGAAAGCAACTGAGGAAACAAAAAGTTGAAGGATACAAAATTTTCAAAGTTTTACAAGAGAAAGAAGATTTTTCTTTTTGGCTCTAGAGCGAACAAGCCCTAATAACGGAACTTTGCGGTTCTGGTTCACAACACAATGACACATGCTGCACGAAAATATAAATTGAATTTGCATTTTTGTGATCATTGTGTATCAGCACTTAATTTATTTCGCAATTACATTTCATCGGGTATTTTTAAATCATTGAAATGAATAAGATAATGACGATAGCTAGAAGGACTTGTATCAGTTTAACTGTGAAGGCTCGCGAATGTTCACTCAGTATATGATTGTTGTCCGCGAGAAGTAAGATTTTTATCGATGGTCGTAATATTATAGTATTGTTTATTTTACTGGAACAGAATGTACCAACATTTTAACAGTCAAACTAGCTCATGCGTTTCTGATTATTCGAAGTTTTATCTTCATCTCGCTTTGAAGCCTGCATCATAGTTAATGGAGGGTAATGATGAAAAGGTAAATTATACACCGTGAAAAGATGAAAAAACTTACTGACGTTTCGGACGCTAGTCCTTCGTCGGAGTAAAAAAGCAAAATAGTTAATGGAGGGTAATGATGAAAAGGTAAATTATACACCGTGAAAAGATGAAACAACTTACTGACGTTTCGGACGCTAGTCCTTCGTCGGAGTAAAAAAGCAGTTAATGGAGGGGAATGGTTATGAAACCTATTGTTATAGGTCTTTGTTCACTTTTTTCAAGCGTGACCGTGCACAATCCTTTGTTTTACCATTGTTTTACCATTGTTGGCAATGGCCGAGTGAACAGACAAAAATCTTGCTTTTGGCAGCTAGTTCAAAAGACTTAAAGATTTATAAGAGATATTTGAATATTCCTTACAACAATCCCATAGACAAAGTTTATGTTTACTTATTTTGCAATTTCAGATGGGCATAAATCAAAAATTGTGCACCGTCAAGACCGGTTCAACATCAAAAGCGAACAAAGACCTGATAACAATAGGTTTCCTAACCATTCCCCTCTATTAACTATGCCTGCATTAATAAAACCAACGTTGTAAAGAAATCAACTGACAACGAAGCAAGTAAAACAGAAAATTGTACAGAAATTTCAATCCCGGTCTTTACCTGAAAACGTCAAAATGTTCATTTTGTAAGAGGAGTTTTTAGGTATTTCAAATTTACAACTTTCGTGATTAAGGTAAGTTTCAAAGCAAGATGGAAATCGAACTTCTATCGTCAGAAACGTTTCAGACTGCAATGACACGATGGAAATCATTGTGCACACACCTGCATAACTACAGCTTTTCAGAGTTACAAATTACCACTGTGTTCCTTGATTACAACATAGTTAATGGAGCGGAATGGTTAGGAAACCTATGTTCTATGTTTTTGTTCGTCTTTATCCATTGTTATATGACGTTGACAGTGCACAGTGAAGCAAAAGCTTCTCCATTTGTTCACAGTATTAGGGAATATAAAAGATTTTTACCCTTAAAAATCGTTCTAAAATATGTATTATTTGTTAATTAATCCTATATGATTAATATTAATTGTTTATTGAAAACGAAATTGCCCTTTTTAATGCTTTCTTATTTATCATCTAGTAACTTAACCGTGTATCTGCGCGGAAAAATTTATTCGCATCATTTTTGGTCATGGAATGAAAGTTTTTACTTTCAAAGTGTTCATACATGAAAATAATAAGGAAATGAGTATTTTCAGCCATACTTGCTTTGGTTCATTGTGCACGGTCAGTAACACGTGATGGTACGATTCAACATCAAAGGCAAAACAATAGCTTTGTTCTATGGAGTTTCCTCAATAGCCCACTTCCGAAATATGGTTCTCTTGTCACGCATTAAGGTTTCAGTATGAGGCTACGTGCTAAACGCTCGGTCATTCGTGACAGGCGGTAAGAATTAATTTAATTTAGCACATAGCCTCATACTGAAACCTTTGTGCGTGACAAGTGAAGCATATCTCGGAAGTCGACCAGGCTTAAACCCGTGTCAGTGTCCAAA